TACGGGTGGGTTTATGTATTGCGAGAGGAGAAATTAACTGCCAAGTGCAAGATTTGTAAAAAGGTAACTTCACCAATAACATGTTTAACACAAGCAACACAGTTCTGGTACGCCAAAGACAGATGTATATTGCCGAGCTGTTCGAAACCTCCTTATGGTAAACCACTTGTGGATGACAAGAGAAGTTTTGTACATGCATGCACGAAGATTTATCATCGACCACTACCTACAATTCATCACCTTTTCGCAGATATCACACAATCTTCGAAGGCATGATTTACCCTCCTATTGCAAGAAAATTTCTACCTTTGATTTTTCTTTTCGAATTTCCTGATGTTTATCTTATGCTTTCCTGATTTATATCTTATGCTTTCCGCACTTTACTTTAGTGGAGACCCTTCACATGTTACTGACACATAAGTTCCCTCGTGTGTAAACAAAAGAAGCGTGTATTTGAACAGGAACGGAGCCACAAACATTTTTGAATGTGGAAGTACACAGCATACTGCAGGTAAGCGCGTGGCGAGAGAAAACACTGTTTATCCAAAAGGAAATTAATTTTGAACGTTTCCAATCACATAAGACATCTGAAAATAGTCGGAGGAGAAAATAACAACCTTGAAACATTCAATAGTATTCATGGTAGTCCCACGTGCGCGTTGACATATTGCAGTGTTCTGAGGACGTGCACCATGTTGGGGGTTTGTTTGAAGGTTGTTGAGTTTTACCTTGAAAATGACCACAATGGGAATACCAGACGAGGAAAAACAGAAATGAAAACGACTAGTTATTAGTCAAGCTATGAAATACCAGCGTTTCTTTGTCTATTCTTCAGACGACACCCGTTTCCGTGTACAAAGTTGGCTTGAACAATTTCTAAGAAGACATTGTGCTTTTAATGAAGCCCAAATTCTGAGCAAGACTTAACGTGAGAAACAGATACCTAACAGTAAAAATTAAGCTCTGGTTGAGTACGAGATTTGCAAATGCACAATCGCTTTATTGAACCCCCTAAAAATGGAATAAAAAATTCAGGTCATTCGACTCAACATTCTGGGTAGGACATAAGTTTGCTTTAGAAAAGAAGTGAAAATTAATCGCACTTGTACGTAGAAAATTTGTCTTATTGTTTAAACCAAGTTTACGAATTAAGTATCGGCTAACTAATTCGTTGTTAGGGCGATATTCTGCTAATATCTGCACCTTTAATCGGAAATTGAAAGAGGCTATGAATTCAAGATAACTCAAGCGTAAAAGAAACGAATATTTTCTTTTTAGTTCATTAACTATCAAAAATAAATTCCCATAAACTTTTTTTCCTTTTTGATTGCTTCTTAATACACAAAGTTTTCTTGCCAACCATTTACTTTCTTAGGAATTTGCCCTATGGAATATAAAGTAAACATATCTGCGCGTAAAATATGACCTGATTTTCTTTTTGTGATCGTGACGTTCTCACGCAGTGTACAAAACAGCGATCGCCCCTATAAGTGGTTTACTTTATTAATTGCTCTAAGCCTTTGTTTTTTACTAAATCCATCTGTTCTTCGGTGCCTCTATGAAATGAAGTCATGCATAAAGCAAGTTATCTGTTGTGTCAGAGGGGTTTTTAAAAAAAAATATCAGCATTTACAAACCAATCAAGTCCAATATTGTTATATCATATTTTGTCTATGCAATGTTTTGTGTTTTCAAACGAGCAAGGCTAAATATTTAGACAAGTGAGTTAAGTGTACGCAATATTAATTTTACGGTTTGGGGCGAAATCAATTTTTACCGAGTGTATATTTCATAAACTTTGTATCGCTGGATAGAAAAGGCGAAACATAAAGTTCTTTTTTCCACTTCAATGATTCTTTGGTTATGAACAGAAACATATGTTTCTGTTGCTGGGCAGTAAATTTAGGATAATAGTTTTTTTAAAGAAGAACCATTAACAAATCTTGAATATGGCCCACTTTTGAATAACAGAAGTCGTGCTCAGAGCATGGTTTATGAAACAATGACACAATAATAGCATAGGACGATAGTCAGGATGTCTGCAAGTTGATAAAAAAAGCTCCTGTTTGTACACGATTCCGAGACAAAAACGCTCTTATCGTGGTTAAGAAAGATCGTAAGAAACGAGAAATTTAAAGCAGTATTCTTTAAAGAAGTAGCGTTGTGGTCTCTGTTCCTTGATTATCAGATTAACAAAGGCGAGGAATCAAGAACATGATATCATGTAATGATCATCCCATATAACACAACAAACAAGGAATTGAAAGTAGTACATACGAATGTTATGGGCAGGGCTTACCATCGAATACACTAAGTCGTTAATGGAAGAGCACAAATAATTTTTCTATCGTGACTGGCTTACCTTTGGTGGAACCCACCATATAATGGTTGCTAAAAGCAACAAACATGACAATCAGCTATTTTACAAAAGCCAGTATTCGATATTTAAAATGCTACTCGAGATAATAAAAACATCACGAAGCGGGCTTCATAAGAAAATTCAACGATATTGAAAACATTGAGTGAAGATAAAACGAAGAGCGCTTTCAATGGAATACAAGCAAAAGAGAAGAAGGTTCACTTTTGTAAAATGATTCGTCCAAAATCTAACATGGAAATTTGGTGATGTCTTTCAGGAAAAAAGTCTTAAAATCATTGTGTTATAAAGAGTAGCTGACCTTGCTTTTAAGCCTAAGGATAAATTCCCAAACGTCATCAATTATAGTCCAACGGAAAATAAGACTGTACCTTGATATCTATTGTGGATTTGGCAGCGTGCTTTTTAACCGCAAGCAGAATTGAAACAAATTTTAGACTTCAGGCTAAAATTTTTTATCCAACTTATCAGTTATCATAAACAATCTTGTGGCTATGTGTGTTTTAGTCCATTTTTAACTTGAGAAGCGGGCGCTAAGAGCTCCTACACTTCTACGCCTCGATGGTGTCACTTTAAACTTCGAAGAACCAGGTTGAAGGCCTTAGTAAGAGTGTTATTTAATTTGAAACCCTCAGAGATCGCACTTGCGTTGTTAAAGCAGGATGACTTGTTCAGCGCGATTTAGCATTTCCCGCAAGTAGTTCAAAATTACAGAGCTACAAATATGTTTACCCGGATAACTTCGCTTTATATTGTTTTCCCGCTCCCAATTACGAGGTAAAAAAAAAAGATTCAGAAAAACAATTATCCTCTGCTGGGAACGGTCATTCATTTCATTTTACATGACAATGCAAGGCATATAACTCAATTTGACAACGTTGGGATGAAATACAGAACAACCTAAATATATATTTGAATACGCTCGCGAAAAGGCCTCCGTATACCTTTTGACTTAATTACGTTGTACATTTAAAGCTGGGAGAGTCAAGAAAGCCTGTGATAGGCAGTAGTTCCTTTTATCGCATTTATTGCAATACTTAAAACAAACTTTAGGCTTTCAGTCTTCAGCTTCAAACCTCAACCGCTTTCTTCTTCTAAGGGAAATACTTTCTCTTTGGTGTTGCCTGCCTCTCGTACAAAAGCGCTCATTAACAAAATAAAACCGTTATAAACCGAAGCTATCTATGTTTGAACAAATTAACTGTGAGCTGATTTTTCGTCTCTTCCTTTGTTTCATGCGTCGTAATAGTTGATGATGTGTACAGAGACATCAACTCTTTACGAAGATGAAAAAACACACTATTGACAACAACTTTGTCTTTCGATGAGATTCAAATTAGCCCAAAAAGTGTTCCATGTCTAATCACGTGTAATTAAAAACTGTAATTCAAAATACAGCTACCTCGCCGTTTCCGTTCGAAAATCAACAAAATAGTAATACTCCAATGAAGAACTCGGTTTTTTAACTTTCGTTTTCACAATATAAGCAGTGCAGAGTCGATTGCAAATCGTTTATTGTATGCGCTTACTCAAAACATTGTTTAAAAAAGCCTATCGCCATTGCTGTCTTGAACTTATTAATTATGCTTATTTAGCCTTTGTACACGGTCGTTAATGAAAGAAGAGCAAGCAGGTACCACTCAGAGGGAAGACTTCTTGATAATTGGTTTTCAACGAGGGACAAACCTTCATGATTTCGTGTCAAATTTAACATGTCAGTACCTCCCCAACTGAAAAAAAAAAACTTTTTCATTTAATGCTCCAGGTAAACTTAATCGTTAATTGAATGGGTTAGAAAAGCCCTCTGTTTTATTCCGAATCAAATGGTTTTGTAAAAACAGCTTCATACATTGGAACCTTTGACATTACCCTTGGTTAAAGCGAAATACTCCCTTGAAGTCCTGACTAAGCTTTAACTGGTGACCTTCTCGAATGAAAAATTTTCTGGTATAACCTAAAAATAAGATCACTACAATTTTCCACGCAAATAAAACAGCTCTTTAAAGAGTAATTTTTTTCACCCTTTTTTCTTAATTTCATAGTTTAATTTTGTACTGCTTACCGTAGTGACATATGTTTATGAGGAAGAAAACTTTTTGTTTTATTCATTGTGTAGTTTTTACTTATTCTCTAAACATTGAATCTCCGCACCAGCTAGCTGTCAGCCACTATTGAATACTGAGATGTAAAGTTTAAAACAGAATCTATACGAAATAGTTAAAGGGGCAAATGGAAAATGTTCTTTGGCAAGTATATCTGTATTTTATCGCTTGAGTAGAGTTATTCGCCCTCCGCTATAGAGATTATCATCTGATGCTACACAAAAACATGGATCCCAAAATAACTCAAATTCCATTTTAAATTTTACATTTAACAGATTTCTCATACTTTTCGGAACAGTTTTTTTCGGAACACCCTAAATAGGTGTTTTGAGCAAAACTTAAGACCATTAAAAAGCTATTGTTTCGAACGTGCCAGCTGTATTTCACAACCCTGCAGCTGATCTCAGTACGCTCAACTCCCGCACAGAATTACATGAATAATTCACGACTTCATTGTACTTATTGTTTGGCCTCTCCTATATGAAGTACCGAAAAATCGACGAGGCATCAGAAGGGTTTTACAGCTTCATGTGCACTCGTGAACGCGCGATATTAAAACAAATCGAAAGTCAGGTGATAAATCCATAATACTCACTTCTCATCTGCTCAGCGCCGTTTTTTGAAGGATCAACACGCAGAAAGAATTTCTGACGGAACGTACCATTAACACGCAAAGAGCCCTGAGTACGCGCCCAAAACCTGCGGACAACCCAAGCACTAGAGAAAGAGACATGGCAGATTCAGATGAGCACATAAAACGTCCCATGAACGCCTTCATGGTTTGGTCAAGGACTGAACGCCGCAAACTTGCTCTCAAGTATCCAAACATGCTGAATTGTGAAATCAGCAAACTACTCGGTGCCGAGTGGAGTCGCTTAAGCGACGAAGAGAAGAAGCCTTTCGTAATGGAAGCCAAGCGTTTGCGCTCAATTCACAGCCAGAAGTATCCAGATTACTCTTACAAACCGCGTCGGAAGAAGAACAAAAATGCCCGCAGCAAAGACACCTATGCTACGTTTGGTTACAGCTCCAACTTCGATGTCCTCTCGCCAAGCTACAGCTACCCAATGCATCATTACCTCAGTCCCCATGTCCCCCCTTACAGTGAAGCCTTCATGATGCCGTTGGTAAGTGCACCCACAGCAACCGTAGCTAAACGCCCATACGTTCCAAGTGGATACTCTCTACCAAGCCAGGATCCCCACATTTCACCCAGTGAGTATCCACATCACAGCCACGTTCCAGTCGCGCTTGTTTCTCCAAGTTCAAGTTATCAAGCTCACACCATGTCTGAACGAGCTCAAGAAAAAGCACCCTTATTTTCTCCGTTCCAAAGCCCGTATTATAAGTCTTACTATGGCCACGGGCAATGCCCCATGGTCTCGCAAAGCCAATTAGGAACTAATATTCCTCGCTAGAAGAAATCAGCCATGTTAGTGAAAACGCACTGCAAATTTGTGCATTTCAAACACGACAAAAACATGTTTCCTGACATTTGTTTTGTATATGACTTTTGATATCGAAGGTAATATTGAAATATTACAAACTCTGTGTATAAATTTATTTCTCTGCACGTCAAACCATATACTCAAAAAGTGTAAAGTACGTTGTTGCAAGCAATTCTTCCAGAGGAGAAAAGATTAATGAATAAAGAGGTTGTTTTAAACAGAAAGCGTTTTGTTTGTCACTTAATGTCGTTTGCTGGTCAGCCGTTTGGCTCGACAAAACGTGACACTTGTAATAACCCCAGGCACGGGATAAAAGGTAGCGACCGATTCCAAAAGGCTTGTAAGGAATAATTCACGGTTTAACCAAGTAACAATGAAGCCCAGCTCTCAAAATACTTCAACCTGTCTTAAAGAAAACAGATACCTGAATTTGTGTCATGGTGAAACAATACGACAACCAACACACTGCGAATAACTGAATAGCGAGCGAAGCCACAGTAATATACTAAACCAAATCATTTCTCAATCAGTGGATATCATTTTGTATCGCGATACCTAAAAGAGATTGAATTTCCCTACACGCGTATGATCACGGATCAAGTTCCATAGAGAATTTCGAGGTAAAATACCACTGGATATTCTGGCGCATTAGAAGTGATTCAGAGAATAAGGTAAATCTGTTTAAAAATATTTTTATTTCAAGTTGGATTCAGTTTAACCAAAACAATAACGCCTAAAACACAGAGTGGATCAAGCTTGCCTTCAACGATAGTCTATCAAGACTGGTTTTAAAATGTGGGACAATCTGCTTGACGAAAAAATATGGACGCACCAAATAGCCATAGACCTTTTTGAATAGACAATACCTTAAAGACGCGAAGCAAAACGATATTTCTTATCCCCGATTTTTTCTCTGAACGCATATAAAAAGAGGAGTTCATCTCCATCGATATAAGTATGCTGGTTAAAGATTTCAATTTTCCTTTAATACATTTTTTTTACTAATAACCGAAGGCAAGAGAAGGGGCGAAGTGCCTTTTAATTGTCAAGAGTTTATCAATCTCTTAAAGTTGTGCAAGTTAAACTTGAAAAAAAAAGTCAACAATAAAAAAATAAAGGCCACATTGAAATGTGATACTAAAGAGTATGTTCGCAAGGCTTCAAATTCAGAGAAAAAAGAAAAACCACAACAAAAGCTACAGTAGCATTTTTATAGTCAATTATACCAGATCCTATTCTATCTTTTTGCTGGTAAAGTCTAACTTGAGGATATATTTTCATGGTTATGCTGCTCTGTGACGATCGACAGAGAGGTAGGATCCTCTTCTCAAGTATAAAAGTGTAAAGTTATCACAAAATACTGAAAACAAATTTTAAGGCAAGTCTGATGAAATGAAAACGTTGTCAATACATTTGATGACAACAACCCGGAAAGCATTTCATCAGTTAGAGTTAAAAGAAATACCTTAATGCATTGCCTCTATCATTCAGTTAAAAAGGTTACCTTGGGTCCGCATACTTTCAATTTTGTCATTTGATACTCATACATTTAAAAAACCTTTGCCGAAATTACTGTTTTATTTAAAGTACTCCAACTAACAGCAATGACGATGAAGGACATACTAATTTCTAACGGCCACAGGTTAGATTATACGCGCAAAAACAGATTTCAAAATGGTGATAAAAAATTACTTTCTTTTTCACATATATTTATCGTTCTATATATAAATATATATCAGGATATAAAAAGTCATAATGCTCCTTGAACTACTGTTAGCTATGGCACCCAATTAAGGCCTACTAATTCTATTCAAAATTTATATTAAGACTTGCTAGCTGGACATGGGGAAACTCCTTACATGTACAAAACAATCATATTTATCCAGAGAGAAAGAAAGGCAATTTTGTTCAACACATTGATATTGAAAGATTCTTCAACCTTTTTTGACAAACGAAAAAATAGGGGGAAAAGCACAACTTTGAATTAATTTAACTGTTTTCATGGTGGCGAATTCATCATCTGACATTTCCGAAACACCTGCCCCGCCTGTTAGGCGACAGCAATAAGAATTTGCCTCGAAGTCTCCCATAACAAAGTTGAAACCACAACATCTCAGTAAACTATGGCGAGTTTCCAAACGATGCAGATTGTTGGAGTAAAAAAAAACTCATCTCAAACATGTCTAAGATATATTTACTTTTCTGTTTTAAGTTATTGTGTATGTGCCCACATACATCCAAACGCATTTCTGGCTTGCTGACCGGAGCATTTCAATGACAAAGCACTGTTTGAATGCCAAATGCCATGAAGGACTGTTCTATTTCCTATATTGTATTATTTATTTCGAAAACCTATTTTCACACTCTCAATAACATCTTTAATTTGTTGTATCAAATAGGATGGGAGTGTTTGAAAAGGAATAACCTAAATGTTGTATTACTTGACTAAAGAGGCAGTTGAATTAGTTCTCCGTACGAATATTCAATTTTTACTTATACTACTTGTATTGCGGCCCATAGAAGGATAACCTGTAATGATTAGCAAATGGCTAGGACTTAAGCCATCTAAAAGTAACAAAAGTCCTTCTGTCATTTAGTTGCGATTTGCTCTTTGATGAAAACGAGAACATTCTTTCTTTAAAGGATATTTTGTTCATCGAGTAATAAAAATTACCTTCTGTAATGTCCTTGAGATATTATAAATTTATCAGTCTCAGGCTGCTGATGTTTTATTTCTTGAAAGATAAAATCAAGTTTTGGAAAGTTGTCAAATTTTCTTTTACTTGTAATCAGTTTGCGGTTAATAACAGGGTATTGCATGGAGCCGACAGTTTAAGATGCATCCTTCAGATAATAAAAGAACCTTTTTGCCCTCTCTAAGAAAAAAAATCAGCTGTGAGCTAATACGAATTAAAATGGAAACATAGAAGTAGTTGAAGATGTTTGAATGAAGAATTATGATGCTTCATTGCCTCTCGTTTCGGACATTGTTAAGGATCGGGTGTAACTCTGCTGCGAGTACCTGCTTTTTCAGACAGTATTCTTTCTTCGCTTTACTAAAATCTTTCACTCGACGCTAGCAATTCAACGCTTACAACATTATTATATGCCAAAAATATGGACTCTCCAAAAAACAAAAAAGATTGTGTTTAGATGCTCGTTTCATTCAACCTGTGCCAAGAACCTCATCTCCAACTGCCTCATTCAGCGAAAACAGTTCACATAAGAATCCCTTAGCCAAAACTGAATATCGACAATCTCAGTCTGGCAGTTTCATATTTTGATTCTTAATTTGAAATTGAAACTAAATTGTTTATCTCTCAGCTTTGATAGCAAGAGTCGTTTTCCTGAAAGAGAGATTCTGTTGTAAAGAAAACATGTACAATAACTAAAATTATTATTCAACTGCGCTTCGCAGAGTACAAATAAAGCCCAAGACGAGTGCAAATATCACGCGATATTTGTTCTCCAGAAATATCCGCGAAATTCGCCCGCACTGAAATAACAATTTGGCGTGTTGGATAGTAAATCTCTTATTGGACGTTTCGTTGGGTAGTATCGCTGAGTATTTTGACTCGTTATTTGCATTTTGACGAGCCCATAAGGTTCGTCGAAATACGGCACAACTCGGTAAAAATACTCAGCGATACTACACAACAAAACGTCTAATACGATATATATATCTTGAGTAAGCAAAACACAGAATTGATTCGTCATTGGGATGTTGGCTCCAATATGTAATCGCCTCTTCTAAAGTGTAAAATAGAGAATTAGATGAAAAAAAAACCAAAATCTTTGAGGCGAAATGAACTTGAGATTTCCAAGACTTAAAAGGTGTGGCAAACTTGAGGCAACAGGCCGTTGCTACTGGTGTCTTTCACAGACTGCTTTGTAGTACTTCTTCCAAACATTCGATAAGATCGCAAGGTAAAATTCTAAACGGTTCTAACGGTTTGTACGATTTACTAAAGGGAGAAGAACACTCAGTTGGAGGCATAAAAAATTCCGCTTACATTTTATAACTTGAAGAAGCAAATTACCGCTACAAATGGTGTGTGTGGGCATCAATGATTTACCAACTGTCACAGAGGCAGGTTAAGTATACGTATGGCATAATGCAGTGAACCGTCTTCTGTTGCAAAATTAACACACTGTCTGCTAAGCCTGTTCAAATTTACGAGATCTCAGAATATCAATCTTAAAATGGACACTACGTCAAGCGAAGAAAATACTAAAAGAGATGGCATCTTCAGCGAATTTACAAAAGTTGTGCTTCATATAATTATAATTCCTCCGAGTAAAGGCTTGCGCTCGAAACGTGAGCTTTCCAAAGCAGTAAGTCCCCACCTTTATCATATGAGTAATTAAGCAACTGTTTTACTTGCCCGTGAACATAGCACAAATATTTTGCTTAGCAACCAATAACCATGCTTTATAAATACATATTCTGTTTTTTTGTTGTCTTCAGTGTCAAGTGTTAATGTCGAGGATAGTTGTTGTTATTCAAAGATCGTTGTAGAAACATCAAACTTAAGAACCTTTTCATTTTTTGTACAAAATTAAACAGCAAATGACCGGAATTTCCGCCCTGCTGCAACTATGTTATTTATCGTACAAGGGGCGCAGGTGAGAAGGTCGAGGAGGGCAATTGAAAACAGCCTCCACGATACTTTCTGAACCTTATTTAGGAATCCTGCTTTAAATTTAGATGTTATGTAATGCAACGCTCGTCGTCGTGTGTTTCTACACGTGAGTCAGAGTCATAACAGGAAACAGAGCAACATAATAAAAAAAAAACGAACCTCGAAGAATCCTTTCAAAATTGCGGCTACAAAACACTACCATAAAGTATCATGAAAAAAGATGAAATTCGTACCCCTAACATCAATACTTTTATTTAGCAATCTCTATTAATGTTTTACGATCATTAATCTTTGGATTTGAGGTATACCCTCCAATCATACATAAAGTAATCCAAACCTCTGAAAATGTGAAAATTATGGACTTGCTTTCAGTAACAATCTGTACAGCTGCCTTTGTACGGTGATTCCTCTCTATAATAAATCTTTTAAATTAATTTTAAATTAAGCTTTCAATCATCTGTCTCAAGTCCCTTCTATATTTCTGGAAAAACGATTTTCAAGTCTAAAGGACATCGTTTCAAAATCACGTTAAGCTTTATGTTATACCTCATATAGGTTTGTCAAGGTAGGAATGTGTTAACAGATTCAAAAATGTCTCCTAATGCAGCTTCGGATTTTTAACCCAGTCCTTGAAAATTCCAGTTAATATTTAAACTAGAAGAGCCATTGACGGCCAAAAAAGAATGCATTCTGACAAGTACTGCCGGTAGTTGAGAGAGAACAGATGTTTTCTAATAAAAAAAAAAAAAAAACATTGTACAGCGAATTAGTGAAAAGTTTTCAACAAACGAGAATTGTCTTTGTAACGGATAACAGCATGAAGTCAGTATACAGAAAAAATGAAAAAGTCGACCTGCGAACTCTTTCTAGGTATTCAAGAAACATTATTACCATACATGAGAGAGCATTTAATATTATACCAATGGAAAATATCATATCACTATGTCAATTCCTAAATCTGCACTATTTCCATTTTTCGATTAAAGCAGGTACACATTGCACTCGAAGATCAACATTCAAACAACAACGAGCTTTTAATTAGCAAAATTGTAATGTTTTATTAATTGATCCATGTAGTTTCGAAATTCAGGTCGACAAAGTTTCTTAAGAGCGACAAAACATATGCGGCTAGATATAGCAGGAGGGGTTTTGGAATTTTTTCAAAAATGAGTGGAAAACGAGATACTATAGATAGTAAGTTAAAAATTGCGATTTACAAACCATGGTTAACTCTGCTAGACACAAAAGAGAGAGCATGAATTTCTTAAATAATCCAGTGGCATAGGATGATGTTAAATCGTCCATAACGATTTTACTAGTGTAAAACTGAAAGTTGTTCTTGGAAAATATTTCTAACGAAAGAAATAAAAAAAATTGCGTGCAATTCTGAACGAGTATTAAATTGCGTTGACCTATCTTAAATACACATGAAACTGTTCCAAACAACAGAATGGCAGTGCAAAAAGGAAACCACAATTAGTGATGTGGCAGTCTCCATTTCACTCTTGAATATCACTCTTTTCTCCATCTTCATATAATATTCTGGATCTCTGGTCTTTCTTAATTTCAATAAAAAGTCACTTAGCTACAGGAAGCATACACCTTGAAGTAAACTATAGGTACAGTGTACCGTATGTCGACTTCTTCGTATTGGGTAGCAAGGGACAACATTAACAGGGGAATTATACCTAAAAAATTACAGGGTTTTTTTTTATTAAGACACATTCGTAGGAACACCTTTCCAATACTGGAACCTAAAAGAAAACGGCAGAGAAAATATTTTAAAGAAATGAAAATTAAAGACAGTAAAAACAGTCGGATCACAGTCATTGCCTAAACTTTCCTACTCGGAAAAAATAAAATTTCAGGATTATTCCGTGACATTAAATTTGATAATTTCAGGACTCGACGTTTTCTTACCAACTATTATTACAATATGCTATAAAAATATATATAGATTCTCTCTCGTTACATAAAATAAAAATGTCATAAACTTCAACGACGATTTCCAAAAGTAGGAGTTGGGCAAGGCAGTTAATTGCAATTCTGGGACAAAGGAGAATAAAATGAATCTTTACAAAACTCTTTTATAATATGCATACCACACCCTGAATGTCTGTTTTACAGTTAAACAGGTTGGGGGTTAATAGGTGTGGGTGGCAGGTTCAATAAAAAGTGAAAAAACAAGGTACTTTTCACTCTCTGTATCCCAAATTAAAGTGACAGTCGAGCGAAGGCAGCTCCACAGCAGGTGATCAGTGCATTCCATACCAGGTTCATTGTTTAGTTTAAAAATGTAACTAATATTTATAAATGACCTAAGATATCACATGGCCACTAAGACATACAAGCTTGTCCTTCTAGTGCTAACAGCATCTCTAACACGAAAGAAATAGGTGTATGCCCCATATGGCCTCTTAGTAACAGAGACGTCCGCCATTAGATCCGAAGGTAAGTGCGACTGCGAGTTCGAGATCTTCCCATAATGCTACAGTGAGCGCGCGAGAGACTTTATTCCTTTAGCGGAAAAGTCGCAGTAGGCTTCGAGATTATAAGACGAGTTTTTGCAGATGGTGGAAAAAAAACAAGATACCGACATATTTGCAGCCATTATTTCTTCAATGAGGAAAGCGCTTGACTAAGTCCAGTGACAATGACTGGGCAAGCTTTGTTAAAAAAGACCATAGTGATTCTTTGCGAGGTAAACAAATTCTCAGAATTTAGCGAAAAAAATTACTTGTCCCAGAATCCCCAGAAATTCAATCTATTCATAGATCAAATACATTAAACATCTTCTTACTTGTCAAACACAGCTCTGTATCTTTTGACAAACATTCGCCTTAGACTTCCATTAGGTTCCATGAGGCGATTTCCAAGTTTACTCTGACCAGAGGAGATCTTACGGAGATCGAAACGTGGGAAGAATCTGAACAACAAAGCATCGATAAGAGTTCCATGTTCAATTTGTAGTAAATTTCTGTCCTCGAGGGTCCCGGTAAAAAGAACTTGGCAGTAACTTTGTACTTTAGGGCGGAAAAGGCTAATGATTTACAATTCAGCAAACTTCTGAAATTTGCCAAGAGCTGAGAGAGAGCGCAAAAGGGTGAATAGATACTCATAAGAAAATAGCAACTACAGCACTGCAGAGAGTAAAGTTTAACCATCCATTATAACTTAAACCGCTAAAAGTGACTAGTGTCTTATTCCTACTCAAATATCACCCTAAATCAAACATCAAATAAAGGAAATGATCATCTCCTAAAAATTCTCTTGATCGCTAAACTCTCCTTGTCCGCAACTAAGAAAAGGTATAAAGAACAGTATGGAGAAAATGCATACTGATGTTAGCAAGGGTGTAGAGGGCTAACCAGTTTTAACTTGCGCCGCCCAGATACCATTAGGGAGCTACCAGCTAAGATGAAAGGCCACACGTTTGGAGTGAGGAAAACCATAAAAGGTTTGATTTGACTGATCCAGCACTAAGAGTCAAATGAGTTGCCGTCAACCACTGTCGAGTTGTTGCGAAATACCTTACTTCTAAAGAAAGCTATAATTCTGTGAAGAGCATTTGTGGCCCAAGGCTCTAGGAAGATAGCTATGACAATACCGATAACTTAGTGTCTTACTTTCCGTCTGAGGTACTGTCCCCTGTTCCTAGCAAATTTATATCAGAAATAAGTTCATCCACAGAGATGCCGTCACCAGGGTCATCCGTTGGACCCATACCAAACACGACTGCGTTACAAAGCCTGAGAAGACAAGAGACAAAATTGGTAAGACTTCCTGAAAAACTTTGCTAACGTGAATGCAGCAGTGGCCAAACTCTGACGAAGACGGTGGGCAGTTTTAAACCGATCAATAAAAAGTACAATCATCTTTATGTTACTTTATAGAAAGCTCACCTTAAATTAATAACAATTCGTATACTTTTTCACTCTTAATTACCTTACAGACTGTTCCATGTTCAGTTCTTTTTCAGTACACATGTTAAAGAAAGTCAACACGGCCAACTCGGCCCATTCCTCTCCCGTCTCTACAATTGCCGCTGCCAATCAAACAACACCGAGTTCAGTTACATGTGATGTAAATTCTACAACACAAAATGTATAAAAATAATTATGTGCAAGGGTTAGAACCTAATCGTATTCGCTGAGGGTGGTACAGGGTTTATAGGCGCTGCGCGCTCGTTTGATTTTGAAGTCACATGTCTGATTTCAAATTGCACTTCACTCAGTTCAGTTACCATTATTTATAACCCAGCTGAGATGTGATTTTCCTCCTTGAGATACACGTGGCCCGTGAATTTTTTCGTTGATTTTGTGACACCTTGTACACCAGAAAGGAGAATCGAGGTTTTTCCTTCTATGTACGTGAAATGAGGTCAGACCCACTCCCCTCCCCCCTGCCGTTTGCTTTGCTACACTCTTCTCTTATACGATACAAACATCGTGCTCATAATTGATTTGCTAAAGAGTGCGACGATCATCCAGCTCTTCAAGCCTCTGTTATTCTAACCAATGTGACTTAAGACTTGTCAGAAGTGATTCGTCCGTTGCTCTGTGTCAAAAACTGAACTTAAAACAAAGTCTTCTGTGATTTATCTTCGCTCATGATCTGTTAAAGCGTAGACCCATGGCTGGCGCCAAGAAAATGGTTTACGTTTTTTTTTTCCTTATTTACAAAGTGTCTAAAATGTTTGCGAGATTTTGATTAATTAAGTAAGGGAAGGTCTGGAAAAGTTATAATCAGACTTGTTTGCTCGAAAAAATATACAAATGACTTAAAAATACCTAAACTGATACATTAATCTAAGAGCAGTCGAGTGCCATGGGAGAGTTGAACATATTACTTGTAAAATCATGCTTCTGTTCCTCACAAAAGACAACTAGATCCCATTTGACTTTGTTTTGATCTGTCCACTTAACAGTAGACGCTAATATGTTAAATGACTTAAATGCACTTACAATCTTTGTTAACATTCAGAGGACAGGTGACGTCACAACTGTTAGTATCTTCCCGAAGAATTTCGTTTATCTGGCAGAAGCAAACAAATTGAGTTTATTAGCTACTGTGAACCGCAGGTAAATGTAAATAAACTGTAATGTTGATTTCAGGATGTAAAGAAAGCAGCACTCCACAGCTGTGGCAAGAAACACTCAAGAGTAGAAGACCATGGCCGAAAAACAGTACGTAAGTAGCAGGTTTTCCCAATGAAAAAGTCGAAACGACCACTTTCCACTTACTGGACAAGCCTGAGAGATTCTTTACAAGATCACAGTGATCGGTTCGCATTGGTAATAACAAAGCGAATTCTGTATCCTGTTCATATCGGAAAGTTCAATCCAACTAGCAAACTGATATTTCTCCACGGTAGGAGATTTTCAGCAAACTTACACTCCGGGTTGAAGTATTCATATTTATGTATAAAAAAAAAAAATTCTCAAATGTAATTTCATGCGATAATTTGAAATTCTTGCAAGGTAAAGCCTGGTGAGGGCAATGGACCAGCACTGTTGACCGCTCTCATACGAAGGGAACATGAGTATATTACCAACAGTAAGACTTACATCTTTACCGATGTTCCAGTTGTTATTTGAATCATCATTTGGATCTGTTTTTTTCCAGGACTGGACGCAGTTAAAGAATTCCAACTATCGCACATCTCAGTACGGCTTGCTAAGTTCAAAAGTCTGCTTCAATTTAAATACTCCCGGTCGAATTGTTCGCGCTTGAGTCGTACATGTAAATTCGCGCCCAAAAAATCTCGGTCCGTAACTTTCAGTTAGGACCTCGAACTGGGTTCGTAGAAGGATAGGGCTCTCTCTCAAATGTTGCTGTCAATTTAAAAGTGGCTCTAAGCCTCTGAGATGGAAAGTAACTTTGCAAATAAAACAAATTGCGGGCACGATTTTTGGCTGATTGATGTTCATGTGTACTCATAGGGGGTTAAAACTCAACAAAATTTAATTGAATCTGCATTGAACAGGTTAAATGATCGCTGTGCGTATTAAAGGATACAAATTCTGGCTTGATAATCTCTTCATATTGAAGAAGTTGACGTATTCTTAAAAGCGGTGTGCCTGAGTGCGAGAAAATATGTCAGTAATGGCGGTCGGTCATGTAATTCCCGGTCTCATATTATTTTTATCTTTTTACTTGTTCTCAACAAACACAAAACTCCGAGTGACTCTGAATCAATCTATGACTTTGAAAGATATCACGGACAATCGATCTTCAATCCAGTAGAGTATTTCTGTACAGAAATCTACTCTCTGCCTTAGGAAATAGGCGGTAGCCATCTTGGATTTAAGACCAACGCTCAAAGAAGAGTGTATTTGAAGGCGAAGGTGCGCTATGATCCAAAAGCGGTTGCCAGTTTTCAACTCACCAGGTTAGCTATGTGTGGGGATATTTGTCCGAACCCTGGCCCTAATGCCAGATCTAAAAGTTCGACCAAACCGAAATACAACTCTTGTGGAAGGACAATAGCTAGCAATCATAGATTTGTAAGCTGCCAGGTTTGTGGGATTTTGTATCATGTGAAATGTGGAGGCTTGAAGCTGATCATGAAGGAATACGAGCAGTTGAAATCTGGTAATAATGGATCATGGATTTGTGTAGTGTGTTTTGTTTCAAGTCCTCCCTCAAGAAGTTAGCTTCAACTCTTTAAATGACTCACTGAACGATTCAGAGGGTAGCAACAGCAACATTGGTGATGAAGCTAACGATTCACCATTAGATAATCTCTGGAAACACAGACAAGCATATCCTGGCTTATTTTTGATGGCACATCTCAATTTTAATAGCATACAAAATAAGTTTGATGTGCTGAAACTAGTTAATGCCAAATTAAGGGCTGGAATTCTAGTTTTAACTGAAACGAAGATTGATGCAACTTCTCCTGACAGTCAATTTAAGATATCAAACTATCGACTTTATCGTAAAGATCGAGTTAAAGGAGGAGGAGGAATCTTGGCCTATATTTCCACCATGATCCCTTCAAGGAGGCTTAAATTAAGAAAATCATGTAGAACCATCGAGTCTCTGGCCATTGAGGTAAAGCTGGGGGATTCATATGCTGTGGTGCTTGGACTGTACAGACCCCCACATAACACGGGTCTTAATTACTATGAAACACTGGAGGATGAGTTGAACGAGGTAACAACATGGCCCTCTTCTCAAAGTCAAACAATCATAATTATGGGAGATTTGAATCTGGATAGACTGAAACCTAGTGATTGAGAGAGAAAAATGCTAATTGATTTGGAAGAGGTACAAGAGCTCACGTGTTTGATTAATCAACCAACACGCGTGATTACAACACCTCAAACCTTATTAGATGTGATACTTGTTAATTCTCCTAACTCTATAAAGGTATCAGGCGTAGCTGAACTGGGGCTCAGTGATCACAGATTGGTGTATGAACTTGCTAACAAAGGTGGTAAACATCATGAGGCAAGGAATATTACCTGCAGAAGTACTAAGCACTTAGATGTGGAAGAGCTTAAGGCGGATATGCGTGACATAACATGCTCTGAAACTCAGGTGGCACCAGCACGTGATCTGTACTTACAATGGAAAGAAAGGTTTATGAAAATAATCGACAAACATCTCCTTGTGAAAAGGATTAGAGTAAGGAAGAATGATGTCCCGTACATGAATGCAGAGTGGAAGGCAGCAATAAGAAAGAAAAGGAAGCTTGCAAAGAAATTCAGCAGACAGAACCACAGAGTCATGGGAACTTATGAGGACCTAGAGAAACCAGGCCACACGACTAAGAAGGAAGGCGATTAAAGATTACTGGAATGGGGTATCAGATAAACTGGATAAGAATCCTAAGAAATTCTATGGAACCTTTATGCCCTTCAGCAGCTCAAAGTGTGCTAAGGATAAGAATTCGGCTAATATTTCTCTGAACATCCAAGGACAACTACAACAGAACAAGCAGATACTTGCAGAAGAATTCACACGTTACTTTGCAACAATCGCAGACAATATTGGGGGAATGGAGGCGTCATGCTTGACTGAGGAAAATTGTTACAGACACCCTGGGGTAAGTGCAATAAGATACAGACAAATGCCAAGTATGTTTAACTTCAGGAGCATTAGTAGAGAGGAAGTTCTGGACGCCCTTTGGGGAATTAACCCGCATAAAGCAACAGGGTTTGATGGGTTGTCCCCCAGAATACTTCAGTTGGCAGCAGATGAGATTGCAGAACCCTTAACGGTGATATTTAATGAAGTAATTCAGGAGAGCGAATGGCCTCTGGAGTGGAAAAGAGGGGAATGAGTACCACTGTACAAGAAAGAGAACCCCCAAAACGTAGCCAATTACAGACCAGTAACTTTGCTACCCGCAGAGGACAAGATCTTTAAACAATTGCTCTGGTATCAATTGAGAGATAAGTTTGAAACTGTATTTAACAACTCAATGTCAGCATATCGAAAGCGGTACAGTTGTGATACAACTTTGCTACGACTGGTCGAGGACTGGAAATATGAGAGGGATATAGGAGAGACTGTAGCCATCTTGTCAACAGACATGAGCAAAGACTTTGACATTAGCAAAACCTTTGACTCCCTGCACTCGATTTCGGTTCTCCTCCATCCTAGCATCAGCAATGCACTGATGAGGCCCAGAAGGCCGAAACAGTACTGCAGTTAGTTGAACAGTACTGTCTTCAGTTATAATAAGTTATTTAGTCTTCAGTTAGTTATACTATAATTAACAATTATTCCACGAGCACGCGTTGGATATGAGATGATAGATAGCCAACGAGGCGCGTAGCGCCGAGTTGGCTATAATCATCTCATATCCAACAAACGCGAGTGGAATAATTGTTTTATTAAAAAAACACCCCCAAGCTATTAGACAAATCTTCTCGACTTTATTTTGTGAGAAGAAACCGGATTTAAAAATGCACAGAAATTAGGTTATGGTATACTGGCTCATATACCTTAATGGCTGAGCCGATAAAAAGTCTTGAATTGCATTATCCAATGATCCAGTTTTTAATAATTAACAATTATTCCACAAGGGCATGTTGGATATGAGATGATGATAGCCAACAAGGTGCGTAGCGCCGAGTTGGCTATAATCATCTCATATCCAACAAGTGCGAGTGGAATAATTGTTTTATTAAAAACGTTAAATTAAATTATTAAATTTTTAGCTCCCTTTTAATTTTAAGCTGACACATACGCTTACCATATTTGTAGATTATGGTATATTGGCTGATATACCATAATGGCTAAGCCAATAAAAAGTCTTGAATTGCATTATCCAATGATCCAGTTTTTAATAAATATATATATAACAATTATTCGCCGAAGGTGAGGTAAATAT